TCCAACTAGAGTAGTTTAAAACCTCAGAAAGACCACTCTTTCCCTGACAAACACAGAGAACAATGACTCGTGAACCAACATAACGATAATAGCCCGTTACATAATCCACAAAAAATAAAGGAATAATTCGAAAAAAATGGCATGTTGGTGGTCAAATGCTAAAAAGATGGAGTCACACCCAAATTTCCAAATTAATGAAGTTTTATCAATTGCTGACTTGGACATGGAAATTTACTGTTGATTTTCTTTTAATTCCTAAACAGCCCTATTACGAAATGACCTAACTACCAATTTAATAAGAAATTTCCTTGGAGCCCATAGCTGAAAATCTCAAACACATACCTAAGACCATCAGATCATCATCACAAATCCCAATATCACATTTACAACAACAACAAGAATTTGCATCATTTCTTAAAAGCCCACACGTGTCCCTAAAAGCTAGAGTCCTTTGTGAAATTTTCAGCAGAGTTGCATTTCAACCCCTACCTGAAATTGTCAAAGAGGATATCACGCTCTCATATGGTTCTCCGATGGCTGCAGCAAGAGAGGAGGTGGTGCCAGCAAGGTGAAGGCAAATGATTTGGCATTGGTGTTGGGTAAGTGGTGGTTTTGTTGGGCCGGCAAATCAGTGGTAATGTTGATCATTTTTTTTTTTCTTTTAAATTTTGATCATTTTTTAGTGTTTTTTTCAATTCGACCCTAGGGTTAAGATTTTTGTGGTATTCACTAGATGGTGGTGATAATGGGAAGAGAGAGAGAGAGAGAATGGGGACAGGTGGTGATAAGATAGATGGAGATAGAGTGGACAGTGGCAGCGATAGTGGTGGAGCGACTATGTTTTGGTTTTCTCGTGATAATAAATCCTTTGAGAACAGTGTGTTTCTGAGAAAGAGGGAGGGGGTAGTCTAGTACTTCAAGGTCAAACCCAGATTCGCCTCAAGGCAGTTGAGGAATTAATAGAAAATCTACTGTAAACTTCCATGTCCAAGTCAGCATTTGATAAAATTCCATTAATTTGGAAAACTTGAGTTTGACTCCACATTTTTGGCATTTGACCACCAAAACCCAAAAAGCTACAGAATTGCTCTTATGGCAAAATAATTACAATTCTAGAGGATGAACCAACATAAAAAGCTAATAATACGAGTTAAAGAAAAAATTGGCATGCTCAACAAAAGATCACACATAAAACCAAAAAGTAATTTTGATATGCAAAAATTCATATAAGATCAGCTCTATAACAGTACCTCTACATGAGTCGTAGCATTCGAACTATATCGAAGCCAACCTGCAAGATGAGCATTATTAACAGAAAATCTATGCTGATTCATCAGTGAGCATTACTGCTAGTTGAAATCACATGAATAGATATCTCAAATACAAAAGAGTGGGATTCAAAAAGGTTGTAAGCTCTGCAACAAATTGGGGCCAGGATCGAAGAATTCCAAATGTTTTTCAGTCACCGCAGTCAGAATATTGTAATAAATACTTACTTACAGTAGACATAAATTGCAAATTCAATTTGGACTATGAAGGAATTGAAAATGAACAAAACAGCAAATTCAATTTGGATAGTTTTTTTTTTTCTCAAAACGTGAATTCAGAAGGAAAAAACACACAAAACCAGATACAAAAGGTGAAAAATACAAAGGAGCAAAATATGATTTCACAAACAAGGGACTAATCAAGCATGAACTCAGAAACTATCAAAATATAATTTCAAAAACAGTAAAGTCTAAACCCAGCTTCACAAGAAATCTATCCATGAAGAAATTAGAGACCCAACAAATTTAAAGAGCAGATACACAAGGTGGAAAATACAAAGGAGCAAAACATGATTTCACAAACAATGGACTATAAATCAAGTATCAATTCAGAAACTACCAAAATATAATTTCAAAAACCCTAAAATCTAAACCCAACTTCACAAGAAATCTATTCCTGAAGAAATTGTAGAAACTTGAATAACAGAATAGAGACCCAACAAATCATAAATGGTTTATGATTCTTAAAACCCTGAATGACTTCACCTAAATACAGATCTAAATCAAAAGTAAGATAAACAAAACACGATAACAAGAATACTTACCAAAAACAGTTCTCTCACTCCGTCTAGAGAACAAAAGTGCAAAGGGGACCATTTCTTTGGCAAATGAAAGACTTCCCAAAACCTACTATAATGCCTATAAATGATATTTATACTAATATAGCCACTCTATTCTGGGATCATGTTTCTGCCCACCCTCTAGGCCCAAATAAATATTTGTCTTTAAATAAAAGATACATCACTTAAAAAGATAATCGGTATAATTACTCGCATTATAGACCATATTGCAATGCTTCGGCTGACTCCAACTAGGGTAGTTTAAAGGCTGAGAAATGGCACTCTTTCCCTGACAAACACAAAGAACAATGCCGACCAACATAATGATAGCAGCCTGTTACTTAATCCACAAAAGCTACAGAATTGCTCTTATGGCAAAATAATCAAAATTAGGCTGAACCAACATAAAAAGCATTGACATGCTCAACTCAAAATCACACATAAAGCCCAAAATTAATATCGATATGCGACAATTCAAGTAGGATCAGCTCTATAACAGTAACTCTACATATTTGTCAGATTTAGTGAGGGCTGAGAAAATTTTGCAATGTTTCGACCGACTCCAACTAGAGTAGTTTAAAACCTCAGAAAGACCACTCTTTCCCTGACAAACACAGAGAACAATGACTCGTGAACCAACATAACGATAATAGCCCGTTACATAATCCACAAAAAATAAAGGAATAATTCGAAAAAAATGGCATGTTGGTGGTCAAATGCTAAAAAGATGGAGTCACACCCAAATTTCCAAATTAATGAAGTTTTATCAATTGCTGACTTGGACATGGAAATTTACTGTTGATTTTCTTTTAATTCCTAAACAGCCCTATTACGAAATGACCTAACTACCAATTTAATAAGAAATTTCCTTGGAGCCCATAGCTGAAAATCTCAAACACATACCTAAGACCATCAGATCATCATCACAAATCCCAATATCACATTTACAACAACAACAAGAATTTGCATCATTTCTTAAAAGCCCACACGTGTCCCAAAAAGCTAGAGTCCTTTGTGAAATTTTCAGCAGAGTTGCATTTCAACCCCTACCTGAAATTGTCAAAGAGGATATCACGCTCTCATATGGTTCTCCGATGGCTGCAGCAAGAGAGGAGGTGGTGCCAGCAAGGTGAAGGCAAATGATTTGGCATTGGTGTTGGGTAAGTGGTGGTTTTGTTGGGCCGGCAAATCAGTGGTAATGTTGATCATTTTTTTTTTTCTTTTAAATTTTGATCATTTTTTAGTGTTTTTTTCAATTCGACCCTAGGGTTAAGATTTTTGTGGTATTCACTAGATGGTGGTGATAATGGGAAGAGAGAGAGAGAGAGAATGGGGACAGGTGGTGATAAGATAGATGGAGATAGAGTGGACAGTGGCAGCGATAGTGGTGGAGCGACTATGTTTTGGTTTTCTCGTGATAATAAATCCTTTGAGAACAGTGTGTTTCTGAGAAAGAGGGAGGGGGTAGTCTAGTACTTCAAGGTCAAACCCAGATTCGCCTCAAGGCAGTTGAGGAATTAATAGAAAATCTACTGTAAACTTCCATGTCCAAGTCAGCATTTGATAAAATTCCATTAATTTGGAAAACTTGAGTTTGACTCCACATTTTTGGCATTTGACCACCAAAACCCAAAAAGCTACAGAATTGCTCTTATGGCAAAATAATTACAATTCTAGAGGATGAACCAACATAAAAAGCTAATAATACGAGTTAAAGAAAAAATTGGCATGCTCAACAAAAGATCACACATAAAACCAAAAAGTAATTTTGATATGCAAAAATTCATATAAGATCAGCTCTATAACAGTACCTCTACATGAGTCGTAGCATTCGAACTATATCGAAGCCAACCTGCAAGATGAGCATTATTAACAGAAAATCTATGCTGATTCATCAGTGAGCATTACTGCTAGTTGAAATCACATGAATAGATATCTCAAATACAAAAGAGTGGGATTCAAAAAGGTTGTAAGCTCTGCAACAAATTGGGGCCAGGATCGAAGAATTCCAAATGTTTTTCAGTCACCGCAGTCAGAATATTGTAATAAATACTTACTTACAGTAGACATAAATTGCAAATTCAATTTGGACTATGAAGGAATTGAAAATGAACAAAACAGCAAATTCAATTTGGATAGTTTTTTTTTTTCTCAAAACGTGAATTCAGAAGGAAAAAACACACAAAACCAGATACAAAAGGTGAAAAATACAAAGGAGCAAAATATGATTTCACAAACAAGGGACTAATCAAGCATGAACTCAGAAACTATCAAAATATAATTTCAAAAACAGTAAAGTCTAAACCCAGCTTCACAAGAAATCTATCCATGAAGAAATTAGAGACCCAACAAATTTAAAGAGCAGATACACAAGGTGGAAAATACAAAGGAGCAAAACATGATTTCACAAACAATGGACTATAAATCAAGTATCAATTCAGAAACTACCAAAATATAATTTCAAAAACCCTAAAATCTAAACCCAACTTCACAAGAAATCTATTCCTGAAGAAATTGTAGAAACTTGAATAACAGAATAGAGACCCAACAAATCATAAATGGTTTATGATTCTTAAAACCCTGAATGACTTCACCTAAATACAGATCTAAATCAAAAGTAAGATAAACAAAACACGATAACAAGAACACTTACCAAAAACAGTTCTCTCACTCCGTCTAGAGAACAAAAGTGCAAAGGGGACCATTTCTTTGGCAAATGAAAGACTTCCCAAAACCTACTATAATGCCTATAAATGATATTTATACTAATATAGCCACTCTATTCTGGGATCATGTTTCTGCCCACCCTCTAGGCCCAAATAAATATTTGTCTTTAAATAAAAGATACATCACTTAAAAAGATAATCGGTATAATTACTCGCATTATAGACCATATTGCAATGCTTCGGCTGACTCCAACTAGGGTAGTTTAAAGGCTGAGAAATGGCACTCTTTCCCTGACAAACACAAAGAACAATGCCGACCAACATAATGATAGTAGCCTGTTACTTAATCCACAAAAGCTACAGAATTGCTCTTATGGCAAAATAATCAAAATTAGGCTGAACCAACATAAAAAGCATTGACATGCTCAACTCAAAATCACACATAAAGCCCAAAATTAATATCGATATGCGACAATTCAAGTAGGATCAGCTCTATAACAGTAACTCTACATATTTGTCAGATTTAGTGAGGGCTGAGAAAATTTTGCAATGTTTCGACCGACTCCAACTAGAGTAGTTTAAAACCTCAGAAAGACCACTCTTTCCCTGACAAACACAGAGAACAATGACTCGTGAACCAACATAACGATAATAGCCCGTTACATAATCCACAAAAAATAAAGGAATAATTCGAAAAAAATGGCATGTTGGTGGTCAAATGCTAAAAAGATGGAGTCACACCCAAATTTCCAAATTAATGAAGTTTTATCAATTGCTGACTTGGACATGGAAATTTACTGTTGATTTTCTTTTAATTCCTAAACAGCCCTATTACGAAATGACCTAACTACCAATTTAATAAGAAATTTCCTTGGAGCCCATAGCTGAAAATCTCAAACACATACCTAAGACCATCAGATCATCATCACAAATCCCAATATCACATTTACAACAACAACAAGAATTTGCATCATTTCTTAAAAGCCCACACGTGTCCCTAAAAGCTAGAGTCCTTTGTGAAATTTTCAGCAGAGTTGCATTTCAACCCCTACCTGAAATTGTCAAAGAGGATATCACGCTCTCATATGGTTCTCCGATGGCTGCAGCAAGAGAGGAGGTGGTGCCAGCAAGGTGAAGGCAAATGATTTGGCATTGGTGTTGGGTAAGTGGTGGTTTTGTTGGGCCGGCAAATCAGTGGTAATGTTGATCATTTTTTTTTTTCTTTTAAATTTTGATCATTTTTTAGTGTTTTTTTCAATTCGACCCTAGGGTTAAGATTTTTGTGGTATTCACTAGATGGTGGTGATAATGGGAAGAGAGAGAGAGAGAGAATGGGGACAGGTGGTGATAAGATAGATGGAGATAGAGTGGACAGTGGCAGCGATAGTGGTGGAGCGACTATGTTTTGGTTTTCTCGTGATAATAAATCCTTTGAGAACAGTGTGTTTCTGAGAAAGAGGGAGGGGGTAGTCTAGTACTTCAAGGTCAAACCCAGATTCGCCTCAAGGCAGTTGAGGAATTAATTGAAAATCTACTGTAAACTTCCATGTCCAAGTCAGCATTTGATAAAATTCCATTAATTTGGAAAACTTGAGTTTGACTCCACATTTTTGGCATTTGACCACCAAAACCCAAAAAGCTACAGAATTGCTCTTATGGCAAAATAATTACAATTCTAGAGGATGAACCAACATAAAAAGCTAATAATACGAGTTAAAGAAAAAATTGGCATGCTCAACAAAAGATCACACATAAAACCAAAAAGTAATTTTGATATGCAAAAATTCAAATAAGATCAGCTCTATAACAGTACCTCTACATGAGTCGTAGCATTCGAACTATATCGAAGCCAACCTGCAAGATGAGCATTATTAACAGAAAATCTATGCTGATTCATCAGTGAGCATTACTGCTAGTTGAAATCACATGAATAGATATCTCAAATACAAAAGAGTGGGATTCAAAAAGGTTGTAAGCTCTGCAACAAATTGGGGCCAGGATCGAAGAATTCCAAATGTTTTTCAGTCACCGCAGTCAGAATATTGTAATAAATACTTACTTACAGTAGACATAAATTGCAAATTCAATTTGGACTATGAAGGAATTGAAAATGAACAAAACAGCAAATTCAATTTGGATAGTTTTTTTTTTTCTCAAAACGTGAATTCAGAAGGAAAAAACACACAAAACCAGATACAAAAGGTGAAAAATACAAAGGAGCAAAATATGATTTCACAAACAAGGGACTAATCAAGCATGAACTCAGAAACTATCAAAATATAATTTCAAAAACAGTAAAGTCTAAACCCAGCTTCACAAGAAATCTATCCATGAAGAAATTAGAGACCCAACAAATTTAAAGAGCAGATACACAAGGTGGAAAATACAAAGGAGCAAAACATGATTTCACAAACAATGGACTATAAATCAAGTATCAATTCAGAAACTACCAAAATATAATTTCAAAAACCCTAAAATCTAAACCCAACTTCACAAGAAATCTATTCCTGAAGAAATTGTAGAAACTTGAATAACAGAATAGAGACCCAACAAATCATAAATGGTTTATGATTCTTAAAACCCTGAATGACTTCACCTAAATATAGATCTAAATCAAAAGTAAGATAAACAAAACACGATAACAAGAATACTTACCAAAAACAGTTCTCTCACTCCGTCTAGAGAACAAAAGTGCAAAGGGGACCATTTCTTTGGCAAATGAAAGACTTCCCAAAACCTACTATAATGCCTATAAATGATATTTATACTAATATAGCCACTCTATTCTGGGATCATGTTTCTGCCCACCCTCTAGGCCCAAATAAATATTTGTCTTTAAATAAAAGATACATCACTTAAAAAGATAATCGGTATAATTACTCGCATTGTAGACCATATTGCAATGCTTCAGCTGACTCCAACTAGGGTAGTTTAAAGGCTGAGAAATGGCACTCTTTCCCTGACAAACACAAAGAACAAGGCCAACCAACATAATGATAGCAGCCTGTTACTTAATCCACAAATGCTACAGAATTGCTCTTATGGCAAAATAATCAAAATTAGGCTGAACCAACATAAAAAGCATTGACATGCTCAACTCAAAATCACAAATAAAGCCCAAAATTAATATCGATATGCGACAATTCAAGTAGGATTAGCTCTATAACAGTAACTCTACATATTTGTCAGATTTAGTGAGGGCTGAGAAAATTTTGCAATGTTTCGACCGACTCCAACTAGAGTAGTTTAAAACCTCAGAAAGACCACTCTTTCCCTGACAAACACAGAGAACAATGACTCGTGAACCAACATGACGATAATAGCCCGTTACATAATCCACAAAAAATAAAGGAATAATTCGAAAAAAAATGGCATGTTGGTGGTCAAATGCTAAAAAGATGGAGTCACACCCAAATTTCCAAATTAATGAAGTTTTATCAATTGCTGACTTGGACATGGAAATTTACTGCTGATTTTCTTTTAATTCCTAAACAGCCCTATTACGAAATGACCTAACTACCAATTTAATAAGAAATTTCCATGGAGCCCATAGCTGAAAATCTCAAACACATACCTAAGACCATCCGATCATCATCACAAATCCCAATATCACATTTGCAACAACAACAACAATTTGCATCATTTCTTAAAAGCCCACACGTGTCCCTAAAAGCTAGAGTCCTTTGTGAAATTTTCAGCAGAGTTGCATTTTAACCCCAACCTGAAATTGTCAAAGAGGATATCACGCTCTCATATGGTTCTCCGATGGCTGCAGCAAGAGAGGAGGTGGTGCCAGCAAGGTGATGGCAAATGATTTGGCATTGGTGTTGGGTAAGTGGTGGTTTTGTTGGGCCGGCAAATCAGTGGTAATGTTGATCATTTTTTTTTTCTTTTAAATTTTGATCATTTTTTAGTGTTTTTTTCAATTCGACCCTAGGGTTAAGATTTTTGTGGTATTCACTAGATGGTGGTGATAATGGGAAGAGAGAGAGAGAGAGAGAATGGGGACAGGTGGTGATAAGATAGATGGAGATAGAGTGGACAGTGGCAGCGATAGTGGTGGAGCGACTATGTTTTAGTTTTCTCGTGATAATAAATCCTTTGAGAACAGTGTGTTTCTGAGAAAGAGGGAGGGGGTTGTCTAGTACTTCAAGGTTAAACCCAGATTCGCCTCAAGGCAGTTTAGGAATTAATAGAAAATCTACTGTAAACTTCCATGTCCAAGTCAGCATTTGATAAAATTCCATTAATTTGGAAAACTTGAGTTTGACTCCACATTTTTGGCATTTGACCACCAAAACCCAAAAAGCTACAGAATTGCTCTTATGGCAAAATAATTACAATTCTAGAGGATGAACCAACATAAAAAGCTAATAATACGAGTTAAAGAAAAAATTGGCATGCTCAACAAAAGATCACACATAAAACCAAAAATTAATATTGATATGCAAAAATTCAAATAAGATCAGCTCTATAACAGTACCTCTACATGAGTCGTAGCATTCGAACTATATCGAAGCCAACCTGCGAGATGAGCATTATTAACAGAAAATCTATGGTGATTCATCAGTGAGCATTACTGCTAGTTGAAATCACATGAATAGATATCTCAAATACAAAAGAGTGGGATTCAAAAAGGTTGTAAGCTCTGCAACAAATTGGGGCCAGGATCGAAGAATTCCAAATGTTTTTCAGTCACCGCAGTCAGAATATTGTAATAAATACTTACTTACAGTAGACATAAATTGCAAATTCAATTTGGACTATGAAGGAATTGAAAATGAACAAAACAGCAAATTCAATTTGGATAGTTTTTTTTTTCTCAAAACGTGAATTCAGAAGGAAAAAAAACACAAAACCAGATACAAAAGGTGAAAAATACAAAGGAGCAAAATATGATTTCACAAACAAGGGACTAATCAAGCATGAACTCGAAAACTATCAAAATATAATTTCAAAAACAGTAAAGTCTAAACCCAGCTTCACAAGAAATCTACCCATGAAGAAATTAGAGACCCAACAAATTTAAAGAGCAGATACACAAGGTGGAAAATACAAAGGAGCAAAACATGATTTCACAAACAATGGACTATAAATCAAGTATCAATTCAGAAACTACCAAAATATAATTTCAAAAACCCTAAAATCTAAACCCAACTTCACAAGAAATCTATTCCTGAAGAAATTGTAGAAACTTGAATAACAGAATAGAGACCCAACAAATCATAAATGGTTTATGATTCTTAAAACCCTGAATGACTTCACCTAAATACAGATCTAAATCAAAAGTAAGATAAACAAAACACGATAACAAGAATACTTACCAAAAACAGTTCTCTCACTCCGTCTAGAGAACAAAAGTGCAAAGGGGACCATTTCTTTGGCAAATGAAAGACTTCCCAAAACCTACTATAATGCCTATAAATGATATTTATACTAATATAGCCACTCTATTCTGGGATCATGTTTCTGCCCACCCTCTAGGCCCAAATAAATATTTGTCTTTAAATAAAAGATACATCACTTAAAAAGATAATCGGTATAATTACTCGCATTATAGACCATATTGCAATGCTTCGGCTGACTCCAACTAGGGTAGTTTAAAGGCTGAGAAATGGCACTCTTTCCCTGACAAACACAAAGAACAATGCCGACCAACATAATGATAGCAGCCTGTTACTTAATCCACAAAAGCTACAGAATTGCTCTTATGGCAAAATAATCAAAATTAGGCTGAACCAACATAAAAAGCATTGACATGCTCAACTCAAAATCACACATAAAGCCCAAAATTAATATCGATATGCGACAATTCAAGTAGGATCAGCTCTATAACAGTAACTCTACATATTTGTCAGATTTAGTGAGGGCTGAGAAAATTTTGCAATGTTTCGACCGACTCCAACTAGAGTAGTTTAAAACCTCAGAAAGACCACTCTTTCCCTGACAAACACAGAGAACAATGACTCGTGAACCAACATAACGATAATAGCCCGTTACATAATCCACAAAAAATAAAGGAATAATTCGAAAAAAATGGCATGTTGGTGGTCAAATGCTAAAAAGATGGAGTCACACCCAAATTTCCAAATTAATGAAGTTTTATCAATTGCTGACTTGGACATGGAAATTTACTGTTGATTTTCTTTTAATTCCTAAACAGCCCTATTACGAAATGACCTAACTACCAATTTAATAAGAAATTTCCATGGAGCCCATAGCTGAAAATCTCAAACACATACCTAAGACCATCCGATCATCATCACAAATCCCAATATCACATTTACAACAACAACAACAATTTGCATCATTTCTTAAAAGCCCACACGTGTCCCTAAAAGCTAGAGTCCTTTGTGAAATTTTCAGCAGAGTTGCATTTCAACCCCTACCTGAAATTGTCAAAGAGGATATCACGCTCTCATATGGTTCTCCGATGGCTGCAGCAAGAGAGGAGGTGGTGCCAGCAAGGTGATGGCAAATGATTTGGCATTGGTGTTGGGTAAGTGGTGGTTTTGTTGGGCCGGCAAATCAGTGGTAATGTTGATCATTTTTTTTTTCTTTTAAATTTTGATCATTTTTTAGTGTTTTTTTCAATTCGACCCTAGGGTTAAGATTTTTGTGGTATTCACTAGATGGTGGTGATAATGGGAAGAGAGAGAGAGAGAGAATGGGGACAGGTGGTGATAAGATAGATGGAGATAGAGTGGACAGTGGCAGCGATAGTGGTGGAGCGACTATGTTTTGGTTTTCTCGTGATAATAAATCCTTTGAGAACAGTGTGTTTCTGAGAAAGAGGGAGGGGGTAGTCTAGTACTTCAAGGTCAAACCCAGATTCGCCTCAAGGCAGTTTAGGAATTAATAGAAAATCTACTGTAAACTTCCATGTTCAAGTCAGCATTTGATAAAATTCCATTAATTTGGAAAACTTGAGTTTGACTCCACATTTTTGGCATTTGACCACCAAAACCCAAAAAGCTACAGAATTGCTCTTATGGCAAAATAATTACAATTCTAGAGGATGAACCAACATAAAAAGCTAATAATACGAGTTAAAGAAAAAATTGGCATGCTCAACAAAAGATCACACATAAAACCAAAAATTAATATTGATATGCAAAAATTCAAATAAGATCAGCTCTATAACAGTACCTCTACATGAGTCGTAGCATTCGAACTATATCGAAGCCAACCTGCGAGATGAGCATTATTAACAGAAAATCTATGGTGATTCATCAGTGAGCATTACTGCTAGTTGAAATCACATGAATAGATATCTCAAATACAAAAGAGTGGGATTCAAAAAGGTTGTAAGCTCTGCAACAAATTGGGGCCAGGATCGAAGAATTCCAAATGTTTTTCAGTCACCGCAGTCAGAATATTGTAATAAATACTTACTTACAGTAGACATAAATTGCAAATTCAATTTGGACTATGAAGGAATTGAAAATGAACAAAACAGCAAATTCAATTTGGATAGTTTTTTTTTTCTCAAAACGTGAATTCATAAGGAAAAAAAACACAAAACCAGATACAAAAGGTGAAAAATACAAAGGAGCAAAATATGATTTCACAAACAAGGGACTAATCAAGCATGAACTCGGAAACTATCAAAATATAATTTCAAAAACAGTAAAGTCTAAACCCAGCTTCACAAGAAATCTATCCATGAAGAAATTAGAGACCCAACAAATTTAAAGAGCAGATACACAAGGTGGAAAATACAATGGAGCAAAACATGATTTCACAAACAATGGACTATAAATCAAGTATCAATTCAGAAACTACCAAAATATAATTTCAAAAACCCTAAAATCTAAACCCAACTTCACAAGAAATCTATTCCTGAAGAAATTGTAGAAACTTGAATAACAGAATAGAGACCCAACAAATCATAAATGGTTTATGATTCTTAAAACCCTGAATGACTTCACCTAAATACAGATCTAAATCAAAAGTAAGATAAACAAAACACGATAACAAGAATACTTACCAAAAACAGTTCTCTCACTCCGTCTAGAGAACAAAAGTGCAAAGGGGACCATTTCTTTGGCAAATGAAAGACTTCCCAAAACCTACTATAATGCCTATAAATGATATTTATACTAATATAGCCACTCTATTCTGGGATCATGTTTCTGCCCACCCTCTAGGCCCAAATAAATATTTGTCTTTAAATAAAAGATACATCACTTAAAAAGATAATCGGTATAATTACTCGCATTGTAGACCATATTGCAATGCTTCGGCTGACTCCAACTAGGGTAGTTTAAAGGCTGAGAAATGGCACTCTTTCCCTGACAAACACAAAGAACAATGCCGACCAACATAATGATAGCAGCCTGTTACTTAATCCACAAAAGCTACAGAATTGCTCTTATGGCAAAATAATCAAAATTAGGCTGAACCAACATAAAAAGCATTGACATGCTCAACTCAAAACCACACATAAAGCCCAAAATTAATATCGATATGCGACAATTCAAGTAGGATCAGCTCTATAACAGTAACTCTACATATTTGTCAGATTTAGTGAGGGCTGAGAAAATTTTGCAACGTTTCGACCGACTCCAACTAGAGTAGTTTAAAACCTCAGAAAGACCACTCTTTCCCTGACAAACACAGAGAACAATGACTCGTGAACCAACATAACGATAATAGCCCGTTACATAATCCACAAAAAGTAAAGGAATAATTCGAAAAAAATGGCATGTTGGTGGTCAAATGCTAAAAAGATGGACTCACACCCAAATTTCCAAATTAATGAAGTTTTATCAATTGCTGACTTGGACATGGAAATTTACTGTTGATTTTCTTTTAATTCCTAAACAGCCCTATTACGAAATGACCTAACTACCAATTTAATAAGAAATTTCCATAGAGCCCATAGCTGAAAATCTCAAACACATACCTAAGACCATCCGATCATCATCACAAATCCCAATATCACATTTACAACAACAACAACAATTTGCATCATTTCTTAAAAGCCCACACGTGTCCCTAAAAGCTAGAGTCCTTTGTGAAATTTTCAGCAGAGTTGCATTTCAACCCCTACCTGAAATTGTCAAAGAGGATATCACGCTCTCATATGGTTCTCCGATGGCTGCAGCAAGAGAGGAGGTGGTGCCAGCAAAGTGATGGCAAATGATTTGGCATTGGTGTTGGGTAAGTGGTGGTTTTGTTGGGCCGGCAAATCAGTGGTAATGTTGATCATTTTTTTTTTCTTTTAAATTTTGATCATTTTTTAGTGTTTTTTTCAATTCGACCCTAGGGTTAAGATTTTTGTGGTATTCACTAGATGGTGGTGATAATGGGAAGAGAGAGAGAGAGAGAATGGGGACAGGTGGTGATAAGATAGATGGAGATAGAGTGGACAGTGGCAGCGATAGTGGTGGAGCGACTATGTTTTGGTTTTCTCGTGATAATAAATCCTTTGAGAACAGTGTGTTTCTGAGAAAGAGGGAGGGGGTAGTCTAGTACTTCAAGGTCAAACCCAGATTCGCCTCAAGGCAGTTTAGGAATTAATAGAAAATCTACTGTAAACTTCCATGTCCAAGTCAGCATTTGATAAAATTCCATTAATTTGGAAAACTTGAGTTTGACTCCACATTTTTGGCATTTGACCACCAAAACCCAAAAAGCTACAGAATTGCTCTTATGGCAAAATAATTACAATTCTAGAGGATGAACCAACATAAAAAGCTAATAATACGAGTTAAAGAAAAAATTGGCATGCTCAACAAAAGATCACACATAAAACCAAAAATTAATATTGATATGCAAAAATTCAAATAAGATCAGCTCTATAACAGTACCTCTACATGAGTCGTAGCATTCGAACTATATCGAAGCCAACCTGCGAGATGAGCATTATTAACAGAAAATCTATGGTGATTCATCAGTGAGCATTACTGCTAGTTGAAATCACATGAATAGATATCTCAAATACAAAAGAGTGGGATTCAAAAAGGTTGTAAGCTCTGCAACAAATTGGGGCGAGGATCGAAGAATTCCAAATGTTTTTCAGTCACCGCAGTCAGAATATTGTAATAAATACTTACTTACAGTAGACATAAATTGCAAATTCAATTTGGACTATGAAGGAATTGAAAATGAACAAAACAGCAAATTCAATTTGGATAGTTTTTTTTCTCAAAACGTGAATTCAGAAGGAAAAAAAACACAAAACCAGATACAAAAGGTGAAAAATACAAAGGAGCAAAATATGATTTCACAAACAAGGGACTAATCAAGCATGAACTCGGAAACTATCAAAATATAATTTCAAAAACAGTAAAGTCTAAACCCAGCTTCACAAGAAATCTATCCATGAAGAAATTAGAGACCCAACAAATTTAAAGAGCAGATACACAAGGTGGAAAATACAAAGGAGCAAAACATGATTTCACAAACAATGGACTATAAATCAAGTATCAATTCAGAAACTACCAAAATATAATTTCAAAAACCCTAAAATCTAAACCCAACTTCACAAGAAATCTATTCCTGAAGAAATTGTAGAAACTTGAATAACAGAATAGAGACCCAACAAATCATAAATGGTTTATGATTCTTAAAACCCTGAATGACTTCACCTAAATACAGATCTAAATCAAAAGTAAGATAAACAAAACACGATAACAAGAATACTTACCAAAAACAGTTCTCTCACTCCGTCTAGAGAACAAAAGTGCAAAGGGGACCATTTCTTTGGCAAATGAAAGACTTCCCAAAACCTACTATAATGCCTATAAATGATATTTATACTAATATAGCCACTCTATTCTGGGATCATGTTTCTGCCCACCCTCTAGGCCCAAATAAATATTTGTCTTTAAATAAAAGATACATCACTTAAAAAGATAATCGGTATAATTACTCACATTGTAGACCATATTGCAATGCTTCGGCTGACTCCAACTAGGGTAGTTTAAAGGCTGAGAAATGGCACTCTTTCCCTGACAAACACAAAGAACAATGCCGACCAACATAATGATAGCAGCCTGTTACTTAATCCACAAAAGCTACATAATTGCTCTTATGGCAAAATAATCAAAATTAGGCTGAACCAACATAAAAAGCATTGACATGCTCAACTCAAAATCACACATAAAGCCCAAAATTAATATCGATATGCGACAATTCAAGTAGGATCAGCTCTATAACAGTAACTCTACATATTTGTCAGATTTAGTGAGGGCAGAGAAAATTTTGCAATGTTTCGACCGACTCCAACTAGAGTAGTTTAAAACCTCGGAAAGACCACTCTTTCCCTGACAAACACAGAGAACAATGACTCGTGAACCAACATAACGATAATAGCCCGTTACATAATCCACAAAAAATAAAGGAATAGTTCGAAAAAAATGGCATGTTGGTGGTCAAATGCTAAAAAGATGGAGTCACACCCAAATTTCCAAATTAATGAAGTTTTATCAATTGCTGACTTGGACATGGAAATTTACTGTTGATTTTCTTTTAATTCCTAAACAGCCCTATTACGAAATGACCTAACTACCAATTTAATAAGAAATTTCCATGGAGCCCATAGCTGAAAATCTCAAACACATACCTAAGACCATCCGATCATCATCACAAATCCCAATATCACATTTACAACAACAACAACAATTTGCATCATTTCTTAAAAGCCCACACGTGTCCCTAAAAGCTAGAGTCCTTTGTGAAATTTTTAGCAGAGTTGCATTTCAACCCCTACCTGAAATTGTCAAAGAGGATATCACGCTCTCATATGGTTCTCCGATGGCTGCAGCAAGAGAGGAGGTGGTGCCAGCAAGGTGATGGCAAATGATTTGGCATTGGTGTTGGGTAAGTGGTGGTTTTGTTGGGCCGGCAAATCAGTGGTAATGTTGATCATTTTTTTTTTCTTTTAAATTCTGATCATTTTTTAGTGTTTTTTTCAATTCGACCCTAGGGTTAAGATTTTTGTGGTATTCACTAGATGGTGGTGATAATGGGAAGAGAGAGAGAGAGAATGGGGACAGGTGGTGACAAGATAGATGGAGATAGAGTGGACAGTGGCAGCGATAGTGGTGGAGCGACTATGTTTTGGTTTTCTCGTTATAATAAATCCTTTGAGAACAGTGTGTTTCTGAGAAAGAGGGAGGGGGTAGTCTAGTACTTCAAGGTCAAACCCAGATTCGCCTCAAGGCAGTTTAGGAATTAATAGAAAATCTACTGTAAACTTCCATGTCCAAGTCAGCATTTGATAAAATTCCATTAATTTGGAAAACTTGAGTTTGACTCCACATTTTTGGCATTTGACCACCAAAACCCAAAAAGCTACAGAATTGCTCTTATGGCAAAATAATTACAATTCTAGAGGATGAACCAACATAAAAAGCTAATAATACGAGTTAAAGAAAAAATTGGCATGCTCAACAAAAGATCACACATAAAACCAAAAATTAATATTGATATGCAAAAATTCAAATAAGATCAGCTCTATAACAGTACCTCTACATGAGTCGTAGCATTCGAACTATATCGAAGCCAACCTGCGAGATGAGCATTATTAACAGAAAATCTATGGTGATTCATCAGTGAGCATTACTGCTAGTTGAAATCACATGAATAGATATCTCAAATACAAAAGAGTGGGATTCAAAAAGGTTGTAAGCTCTGCAACAAATTGGGGCCAGGATCGAAGAATTCCAAATGTTTTTCAGTCACCGCAGTCAGAATATTGTAATAAATACTTACTTACAGTAGACATAAATTGCAAATTCAATTTGGACTATGAAGGAATTTAAAATGAACAAAACAGCAAATTCAATTTGGATAGTTTTTTTTTTTCTCAAAACGTGAATTCAGAAGGAAAAAAAACACAAAACCAGATACAAAAGGTGAAAAATACAAAGGAGCAAAATATGATTTCACAAACAAGGGACTAATCAAGCATGAACTCAGAAACTATCAAAATATAATTTCAAAAACAGTAAAGTCTAAACCCAGCTTCACAAGAAATCTATCCATGAAGAAATTAGAGACCCAACAAATTTAAAGAGCAGATACACAGGGTGGAAAATACAAAGGAGCAAAACATGATTTCACAAACAATGGACTATAAATCAAGTATCAATTCAGAAACTACAAAAATATAATTTCAAAAACCCTAAAATCTAAACCCAACTTCACAAGAAATCTATTCCTGAAGAAATTGTAGAAACTTGAATAACAGAATAGAGACCCAACAAATCATAAATGGTTTATGATTCTTAAAACCCTGAATGACTTCACCTAAATACAGATCTAAATCAAAAGTAAGATAAACAAAACACGATAACAAGAATACTTACCAAAAACAGTTCTCTCACTCCGTCTAGAGAACAAAAGTGCAAAGGGGACCATTTCTTTGGCAAATGAAAGACTTCCCAAAACCTACTATAATGCCTATAAATGATATTTATACTAATATAGCCACTCTATTCTGGGATCATGTTTCTGCCCACCCTCTAGGCCCAAATAAATATTTGTCTTTAAATAAAAGATACATCACTTAAAAAGATAATCGGTATAATTACTCGCATTGTAGACCATATTGCAATGCTTCGGCTGACTCCAACTAGGGTAGTTTAAAGGCTGAGAAATGGCACTCTTTCCCTGACAAACACAAAGAACAATGCCGACCAACATAATGATAGCAGCCTGTTACTTAATCCACAAAAGCTACAGAATTGCTCTTATGGCAAAATAATCAAAATTAGGCTGAACCAACATAAAAAGCATTGACATGCTCAACTCAAAATCACACATAAAGCCCAAAATTAATATCGATATGCGACAATTCAAGTAGGATCAGCTCTATAACAGTAACTCTACATATTTGTCAGATTTAGTGAGGGCTGAGAAAATTTTGCAATGTTTCGACCGACTCCAACTAGAGTAGTTTAAAACCTCAGAAAGACCACTCTTTCCCTGACAAACACAGAGAACAATGACTCGTGAACCAACATAACGATAATAGCCCGTTACATAATCCACAAAAAATAAAGGAATAATTCGAAAAAAATGGCATGTTGGTGGTCAAATGCTAAAAAGATGGAGTCACACCCAAATTTCCAAATTAATGAAGTTTTATCAATTGCTGACTTGGACATGGAAATTTACTGTTGATTTTCTTTTAATTCCTAAACAGCCCTATTACGAAATGACCTAACTACCAATTTAATAAGAAATTTCCATGGAGCCCATAGCTGAAAATCTCAAACACATACCTAAGACCATCCGATCATCATCACAAATCCCAATATCACATTTACAACAACAACAACAATTTGCATCATTTCTTAAAAGCCCACACGTGTCCCTAAAAGCTAGAGTCCTTTGTGAAATTTTCAGCAGAGTTGCATTTCAACCCCTACCTGAAATTGTCAAAGAGGATATCACGCTCTCATATGGTTCTCCGATGGCTGCAGCAAGAGAGGAGGTGGTGCCAGCAAAGTGATGGCAAATGATTTGGCATTGGTGTTGGGTAAGTGGTGGTTTTGTTGGGCCGGCAAATCAGTGGTAATGTTGATCATTTTTTTTTTCTTTTAAATTTTGATCATTTTTTAGTGTTTTTTTCAATTCGACCCTAGGGTTAAGATTTTTGTGGTATTCACTAGATGGTGGTGATAATGGGAAGAGAGAGAGAGAGAATGGGGACAGGTGGTGATAAGATAGATGGAGATAGAGTGGACAGTGGCAGCGATAGTGGTGGAGCGACTATGTTTTGGTTTTCTCGTGATAATAAATCCTTTGAGAACAGTGTGTTTCTGAGAAAGAGGGAGGGGGTAGTTTAGTACTTCAAGGTCAAACCCAGATTCGCCTCAAGGCAGTTTAGGAATTAATAGAAAATCTACTGTAAACTTCCATGTCCAAGTCAGCATTTGATAAAATTCCATTAATTTGGAAAACTTGAGTTTGACTCCACAATTTTGGCATTTGACCACCAAAACCCAAAAAGCTACAGAATTGCTCTTATGGCAAAATAATTACAATTCTAGAGGATGAACCAACATAAAAAGCTAATAATACGAGTTAAAGAAAAAATTGGCATGCTCAACAAAAGATCACACATAAAACCAAAAATTAATATTGATATGCAAAAATTCAAATAAGATCAGCTCTATAACAGTACCTCTACATGAGTCGTAGCATTCGAACTATATCGAAGCCAACCTGCGAGATGAGCATTATTAACAGAAAATCTATGGTGATTCATCAGTGAGCATTACTGCTAGTTGAAATCACATGAATAGATATCTCAAATACAAAAGAGTGGGATTCAAAAAGGTTGTAAGCTCTGCAACAAATTGGGGCCAGGATCGAAGAATTCCAAATGTTTTTCAGTCACCGCAGTCAGAATATTGTAATAAATACTTACTTACAGTAGACATAAATTGCAAATTCAATTTGGACTATGAAGGAATTGAAAATGAACAAAACAGCAAATTCAATTTGGATAGTTTTTTTTTTCTCAAAACGTGAATTCAGAAGGAAAAAAAACACAAAACCAGATACAAAAGGTGAAAAATACAAAGGAGCAAAATATGATTTCACAAACAAGGGACTAATCAAGCATGAACTCGGAAACTATCAAAATATAATTTCAAAAACAGTAAAGTCTAAACCCAGCTTCACAAGAAATCTATCCATGAAGAAATTAGAGACCCAACAAATTTAAAGAGCAGATACACAGGGTGGAAAATACAAAGGAGCAAAACATGATTTCACAAACAATGGACTATAAATCAAGTATCAATTCAGAAACTACAAAAATATAATTTCAAAAACCCTAAAATCTAAACCCAACTTCACAAGAAATCTATTCCTGAAGAAATTGTAGAAACTTGAATAACAGAATAGAGACCCAACAAATCATAAATGGTTTATGATTCTTAAAACCCTGAATGACTTCACCTAAATACAGATCTAAATCAAAAGTAAGATAAACAAAACACGATAACAAGAATACTTACCAAAAACAGTTCTCTCACTCCGTCTAGAGAACAAAAGTGCAAAGGGGACCATTTCTTTGGCAAATGAAAGACTTCCCAAAACCTACTATAATGCCTATAAATGATATTTATACTAATATAGCCACTCTATTCTGGGATCATGTTTCTGCCCACCCTCTAGGCCCAAATAAATATTTGTCTTTAAATAAAAGATACATCACTTAAAAAGATAATCGGTATAATTACTCGCATTGTAGACCATATTGCAATGCTTCGGCTGACTCCAACTAGGGTAGTTTAAAGGCTGAGAAATGGCACTCTTTCCCTGACAAACACAAAGAACAATGCCGACCAACATAATGATAGCAGCCTGTTACTTAATCCACAAAAGCTACAGAATTGCTCTTATGGCAAAATAATCAAAATTAGGCTGAACCAACATAAAAAGCATTGACATGCTCAACTCAAAATCACACATAAAGCCCAAAATTAATATCGATATGCGACAATTCAAGTAGGATCAGCTCTATAACAGTAACTCTACATATTTGTCAGATTTAGTGAGGGCTGAGAAAATTTTGCAATGTTTCGACCGACTCCAACTAGAGTAGTTTAAAACCTCAGAAAGACCACTCTTTCCCTGACAAACACAGAGAACAATGACTCGTGAACCAACATAACGATAATAGCCCGTTACATAATCCACAAAAAATAAAGGAATAATTCGAAAAAAATGGCATGTTGGTGGTCAAATGCTAAAAAGATGGAGTCACACCCAAATTTCCAAATTAATGAAGTTTTATCAATTGCTGACTTGGACATGGAAATTTACTGTTGATTTTCTTTTAATTCCTAAACAGCCCTATTACGAAATGACCTAACTACCAATTTAATAAGAAATTTCCATGGAGCCCATAGCTGAAAATCTCAAACACATACCTAAGACCATCCGATCATCATCACAAATCCCAATATCACATTTACAACAACAACAACAATTTGCATCATTTCTTAAAAGCCCACACGTGTCCCTAAAAGCTAGAGTCCTTTGTGAAATTTTCAGCAGAGTTGCATTTCAACCCCTACCTGAAATTGTCAAAGAGGATATCACGCTCTCATATGGTTCTCCGATGGCTGCAGCAAGAGAGGAGGTGGTGCCAGCAAAGTGATGGCAAATGATTTGGCATTGGTGTTGGGTAAGTGGTGGTTTTGTTGGGCCGGCAAATCAGTGGTAATGTTGATCATTTTTTTTTTCTTTTAAATTTTGATCATTTTTTAGTGTTTTTTTCAATTCGACCCTAGGGTTAAGATTTTTGTGGTATTCACTAGATGGTGGTGATAATGGGAAGAGAGAGAGAGAGAATGGGGACAGGTGGTGATAAGATAGATGGAGATAGAGTGGACAGTGGTAGCGATAGTGGTGGAGCGACTATGTTTTGTGTTTCTCGTGATAATAAATCCTTTGAGAACAGTGTGTTTCTGAGAAAGAGGGAGGGGGTAGTCTAGTACTTCAAGGTCAAACCCAGATTCGCCTCAAGGCAGTTTAGGAATTAATAGAAAATCTACTGTAAACTTCCATGTCCAAGTCAGCATTTGATAAAATTCCATAAATTTGGAAAACTTGAGTTTGACTCCACATTTTTGGCATTTGACCACCAAAACCCAAAAAGCTACAGAATTGCTCTTATGGCAAAATAATTACAATTCTAGAGGATGAACCAACATAAAAAGCTAATAATACGAGTTAAAGAAAAAATTGGCATGCTCAACAAAAGATCACACATAAAACCAAAAATTAATATTGATATGCAAAAATTCAAATAAGATCAGCTCTATAACAGTACCTCTACATGAGTCGTAGCATTCGAACTATATCGAAGCCAACCTGCAAGATGAGCATTATTAACAGAAAATCTATGGTGATTCATCAGTGAGCATTACTGCTAGTTGAAATCACATGAATAGATATCTCAAATACAAAAGAGTGGGATTCAAAAAGGTTGTAAACTCTGTAACAAATTGGGGCGAGGATCGAAGAATTCCAAATGTTTTTCAGTCACCGCAGTTAGAATATTGTAATAAATACTTACCAAGAGTAGACATAAATTGCAAATTCAATTTGGACTATGAAGGAATTGAAAATGAACAATACAGCAAATTCAATTTGGATAGTTTTTTTTTTTCTCAAAACGTGAATTCAGAAGGAAAAAAACACAAAACCAGATACAAAAGGTGAAAAATACAAAGGAGCAAAATATGATTTCACAAACAAGGGACTAATCAAGCAAGAATTCAGAAACTATCAAAATGTAATTTCAAAAACTGTAAAGTCTAAACCCAGCTTCACAAGAAATCTATCTATGAAGAAATTAGAGACCCAACAAATTTAAAGAGCAGATACACAAGGTGGAAAATACAAAGGAGCAAAACATGATTTCACAAACAATGGACTATAAATCAAGTATCAGTTCAGAAACTACCAAAATATAATTTCAAAAACCCTAAAATCTAAACCCAACTTCACAAGAAATCTATTCCTGAAGAAATTGTAGAAACTTGAATAACAGAATAGAGACCCAACAAATCATAAATGGTTTATGATTCTTAAAACCCTGAATGACTTCACCTAAATACAGATCTAAATCAAAAGTAAGATAAACAAAACACGATAACAAGAATACTTACCAAAAACAGTTCTCTCACTTCGTCTAGAGAACAAAAGTGCAAAGGGGACCATTTCTTTGGCAAATGAAAGACTTCCCAAAACCTACTATAATACCTATAAAAGATATTTATACTAATATAGCCACTCTATTCTGGGATCATGTTTCTGCCCACCCTCTAGTCCCAAATAAATATTTGTCTTTAAATAGAAGATACATCACTTAAAAAGATAATCGGTATAATTACTTGCATTGTAGACCATATTGCAATGCTTCGGCTGACTCCAACTAGGGTAGTTTAAAGGCTGAGAAATGGCACTCTTTCCCAGACAAACACAAAGAACAATGCCGACCAACATAATGATAGCAGCCTGTTACTTAATCCACAAAAGCTACAGAATTGCTCTTATGGCAAAATAATCAAAATTAGGCTGAACCAACATAAAAAGCATTGACATGCTCAACTCAAAATCACACATAAAGCCCAAAATTAATATCGATATGCAACAATTCAAGTATGATCAGCTCTATAACAGTAACTCTACATATTTTGCAATGTTTCGGCCGACTCTAGCTAGAGTAGTTTAAAACCTTAGAAATACCACTCTTTCCCTGACAAACACAGAGAACAATGACTCATGAACCAACATAACGATAATAGCCCGTTACATAATCCACAAAAAATAAAGGAATAATTCCAAAAAAATGGCATGTTGGTGGTCAAATGCTAAAAAGATGGAGTCACGCCCAAATTTCCTAATTAATGAAGTTTTATCAATTGCTGACTTGGACATGGAAATTTACTGTTGATTTTCTTTTAATTCCTAAACAGCCCTATTACGAAATGACCTAACTAACAATTTAATAAGAAATTTCCATGGAGCCCATAGCTGAAAATCTCAAACACGTACCTAAGACCATCCGATCATCATCACAAATCCCAATATCACATTTGCAACAACAACAACAATTTGCATCATTTCTTAAAAGCCCACACGTCTCCCTAAAAGCTAGAGTCCTTTGTGAAATTTTCAGCAGAGTTGCATTTCAACCCCTACCTGAAATTGTCAAAGAGGATATCACGCTCTCATATGGTTCTCCGATGGCTGTAGAAAGAGAGGAGGTGGTGCCAGCAAGGTGATGGCAAATGATTTAGCATTGGTGTTGGGTAAGTGGTGGTTTTGTTGGGCCGGCAAATCAGTGGTAATGTTGATCATTTTTTTTTTCTTTAAATTTTGATCATTTTTTAGTGTTTTTTTCAATTCGACCCTAGGGTTAAGATTTTTGTTGTATACACTAGATGGTGGTGATGATGGGAAGAGAGAGAGAATGGGGACAGGTGGTGATAAGATAGATGGAGATAGAGTGGAGAGTGGCTGCGATAGTGGTGGAGCGACTATGTTTTGGGTTTCTCGTGATAATAAATCCTTTGAGAACAGTGTGTTTCTGAGAAAAAGGGAGGGGGTAGTCTAGTACTTCAAGGTCAAAACCAGATTCGCCTCAAGGCAGTTTAGGAATTAATTGAAAATCTACTGTAAACTTCCATGTCCAAGTCAGCATTTGATAAAATTGCATTAATTTGGAAAACTTGAGTTTGACTCCACATTTTTGGCATTTGACCACCAAAACTCAAAAAGCTACAGAATTGCTCTTATGGCAAAATAATTACAATTCTAGAGGATGAACCAACTTAAAAAGCTAATAATACGAGTTAAAGAAAAAATTGGCACTCTTTCCCTGACAAACACAAAGAACAATGCCGACCAACATAATGATAGCAGCCTGTTACTTAATCCACAAAAGCTACAGAATTGCTCTTATGGCAAAATAATCAAAATTAGGATGAACCAACATAAAAAGCATTGACACGCTCTACTCAAAATCACACATAAAGCCCAAAATTAATATCGATATGCAACAATTCAAGTAGGATCAGCTCTATAACAGTAACTCTACATATTTGTCAGATTTTGTGAGGGCTGAGAAAATTTTGCAATGTTTCGGCCGACTCCAGCTAGAGTAGTTTAAAACCTTAGAAAGACCACTCTTTCCCTGACAAACACAGAGAACAATGACTCATGAACCAACATAACGATAATAGCCCGTTACATAATCCACAAAAAATAAAGGAATAATTCCAAAAAAATGGCATGTTGGTGGTCAAATGCTAAAAAGATGGAGTCACACCCAAATTTCCCAATTAATGAAGTTTTATCAATTGCTAACTTGGACATGGAAATTTACTGTTGATTTTCTTTTAATTCCTAAACTGCCCTATTACGGAATGACCTAACTACCAATTTAATAAGAAATTTCCATGGAGCCCAAAGCTGAAAATCTCAAACACATACCAAAGACCATCCAATCAGCATCACAAATCCCAATATCACATTTGCTACAACAACAACAATTTGCATCATTTCTTAAAAGCCCACACGAGTCCCCAAAAGCTAGAGTCCTTCGTGAAATTTTCAGCAGAGTTGCATTTCAACCCCTACCTGAAATTGTCAAAGAGGATATCACGCTCTCATATGGTTCTCTGATGGCTGCAGCAAGAGAGGAGGTGGTGCCAGCAAGGTGATGGCAAAAGATTTAGCATTGGTGTTGGGTAGGTGGTGGTTTTGTTGGGCTGGCAAATCAGTGGTAATGTAGTTCTGTTGATCATTTTTTTGTTTCTTTAAATTTTAATCATTTTTTAGTGTTTTTTTCAATTCGACCCTAGGGTTAAGATTTTTGTGGTATACACTAGATGGTGGTGATGATGGGAAGAGAGAGAGAGAGAGAATGGGGACAGGTGGTGATAAGATAGATGGAGATAGAGTGGAGAGTGGCAGCGATAGTGGTGGAGTGACTATGTTTTGGGTTTCTCGTGATAATAAATCCTTTGAGAACAGTGTGCTTCTGAGAAAGAGGGAGGGGGTAGTCTAGTACTTCAAGGTCAAACCCAGATTCGCCTCAAGGCAGTTTAGGAATTAATAGAAAATCTACTGTAAACTTCCATGTCCAAGTCAGCATTTCATAAAATTCCATTAATCTGGAAAACTTGAGTTTGACTCCACATTTTTGGCATTTGACCACCAAAACCCAAAAAGCTACAGAATTGCTCTTATGGCAAAATAATTACAATTTTAGAGGATGAACCAACATAAAAAGCAAATAATACGAGTTAAAGAAAAAATTGGCATGCTCAACAAAAGATCACACATAAAACCGAAAATTAATATTGATATGCAAAAATTCAAATAAGATCAGCTCTATAACAGTACCTCTACATGACTTGTAGCATTCGAACTATATCGAAGCCAACCTGCAAGATGAGCATTATTAATAGAAAATCTATGGTGATTCATCAGTGAGCATTACTGCTAGTTGAAATCACATGAATAGATATCTTAAATACAAAAGAGTGGGTTTCAAAAAGGTTGTAAGCTCTATAACAAATTGGGGCCAGGATCGAAGAATTCCAAATGTTTTTCAGTCACCGCAGTCAGAATATTGTAATAAATACTTACTTACAGTAGACATAAATTGCAAATTCAATTTGGACTATGAAGGAATTGAAAATGAACAAAACAGCAAATTCAATTGGGATAGTTTTTTTTTTTCTCAAAACATGAATTCAGAATGAAAAAACACAAAACCAGATACAAAAGGTGAAAAATACAAAGGGGCAAAATATGATTTCACAAACAAGGGACTAATCCAGCATGAATTCAGAAACTATCAAAATATAATTTCAAAAACAGTAAAGTCTAAACCCAGCTTCACAAGAAATCTATCCATGAAGAAATTAGAGACCCAACAAATTTAAAGAGCAGATACACAAGGTGGAAAATACAAAGGAGCAAAACATGATTTCACAAACAATGGACTATAAATCAAGTATCAATTAAAAAACTATCAAAATATAATTTCAAAAACCCTAAAATCTAAACCCAACTTCACAAGAAATCTATTCCTGAAGAAATTGTAGAAACTTGAATAACAGAATAGAGACCCAACAAATCATAAATGGTTTATGATTCTTAAAACCCTGAATGACTTCACCTAAATACAGATCTAAATCAAAAGCAAGATAAACAAAACACGATAACAAGAATACTTACCAAAAACAGTTCTCTCACTCCGTCTAGAGAACAAAGTGCAAAGGAGATCATTTCTTTGGCAAATGAAAGACTTCCCAATACCTACTATAATGCCTATAAAAGATATTTATACTAATATAGCCACTCTATTCTGGGATCATGTTTCTGCCCACCCTCTAGTCCCAAATAAATATTTGTCTTTAAATAAAAGATACATCACTTAAAAAGATAATCGGTATAATTACTTGCATTATAGACCATATTGCAATGC